ACCCCACATCTCTCTATCCTCTGTCTCCTATAGTCTCAAACTCGTATACTTCTATTCCTACATCTCTAAATCTCAAATCCCTCTATTTCCACCTTCCAATAGTCCCAAATCCATAGCACTATATTTACACATCTCTATCCCCCAGTTTCTATAGTCCCAAACCTCTCTATTCCAATACCCTTGTATTTCCAGATCTCCATATCCCCAGATTCTATACCAAATTCCGCCAGCTCTCTATCCACAGATATCTGTATTTCGAGATCGTTTTGATCGATGTCGTGGCAGGATTTCCAGCTTGCAAATTTGATTTCGAACGCACTTTACACAACCGTGCAGGTAACGATTTATCAGTTGGAAGTTTCCATGCCATGGTAACGGAGTCAGGGTGGGCGAATCGATTCGGTATCCAGAGCTGACCGTATCTGGCCTACATTACTGTGTCCACGTTTTACACAGAGCTAGATGAATCGTGACGTCAACAGAAAGGACTCGCAGGAATTAAAGAAGGATCGATTACACTGATATTGAACCGAAATTCGGATATTCCGTCTTGTCGGACTGTTCCATTATGCTAGCCGGATTCTCATTAGCTACTTTCCTTTTGTAAGAAGTTGCTGTTCAAAGAACTTCGAACTTCGAGCGATACCGTCTTATTCAGGTTATTCGATCTCTGCGATATTGGCGTGAGACAACGTCTTTTATGCAAGAGGTATATTAATGTTACATATTCCCTTCAATTTCGCTACAATTTTCTAACCGATAAAAGCGCTGGGAAAGACTTTGATACGTGAACTCTTCGCATAGTAAGTACATGTCATGTGTCAGAGTTTATTTCCTTGCCGTGTCACGATCAGACTGCGATGTTTATATGATAGTATGAATCTTTATGTTACAGTAAATGAAATGTGGAAAGGAAACAGTGTATACTTCGTAACTTTGATACATCATAGATACAACTGTTCATGATTGTTCCGTTTTATGACTGGTTATATTCTTAACAAAATGTAATACTTTTAATAACAAATACTTTCAGTAACAAATTTCCTATAAATTCTTTTAAGTGAAGTGTGGTCTTAAGGCTCAATTAAAAAGGACTTTACTCCACTTGTGTATTTTTAGTCCCTAATATTCCGTGGCGTAATAAAGCAAACATGAAGTTGGTCACTCTTAAAACTTCATAAGCGTCGCCGGCGTTTGACGAGCTGGCGACAAACCTTCGGATTAAATCAAATATCTCGAGCAAAGCAGTCTGGGCAACAGGCGAAGTGCCGGCTGTTCCCAGAGGAAAATCCAATCAAATCTCAAATCCCTCTATTTCCACCTTCCAATAGTCCCAAATCCATAGCACTATATTTACACATCTCTATCCCCCAGTTTCTATAGTCCCAAACCTCTCTATTCCAATACCCTTGTATTTCCAGATCTCCATATCCCCAGATTCTATACCAAATTCCGCCAGCTCTCTATCCACAGATATCTGTATTTCGAGATCGTTTTGATCGATGTCGTGGCAGGATTTCCAGCTTGCAAATTTGATTTCGAACGCACTTTACACAACCGTGCAGGTAACGATTTATCAGTTGGAAGTTTCCATGCCATGGTAACGGAGTCAGGGTGGGCGAATCGATTCGGTATCCAGAGCTGACCGTATCTGGCCTACATTACTGTGTCCACGTTTTACACAGAGCTAGATGAATCGTGACGTCAACAGAAAGGACTCGCAGGAATTAAAGAAGGATCGATTACACTGATATTGAACCGAAATTCGGATATTCCGTCTTGTCGGACTGTTCCATTATGCTAGCCGGATTCTCATTAGCTACTTTCCTTTTGTAAGAAGTTGCTGTTCAAAGAACTTCGAACTTCGAGCGATACCGTCTTATTCAGGTTATTCGATCTCTGCGATATTGGCGTGAGACAACGTCTTTTATGCAAGAGGTATATTAATGTTACATATTCCCTTCAATTTCGCTACAATTTTCTAACCGATAAAAGCGCTGGGAAAGACTTTGATACGTGAACTCTTCGCATAGTAAGTACATGTCATGTGTCAGAGTTTATTTCCTTGCCGTGTCACGATCAGACTGCGATGTTTATATGATAGTATGAATCTTTATGTTACAGTAAATGAAATGTGGAAAGGAAACAGTGTATACTTCGTAACTTTGATACATCATAGATACAACTGTTCATGATTGTTCCGTTTTATGACTGGTTATATTCTTAACAAAATGTAATACTTTTAATAACAAATACTTTCAGTAACAAATTTCCTATAAATTCTTTTAAGTGAAGTGTGGTCTTAAGGCTCAATTAAAAAGGACTTTACTCCACTTGTGTATTTTTAGTCCCTAATATTCCGTGGCGTAATAAAGCAAACATGAAGTTGGTCACTCTTAAAACTTCATAAGCGTCGCCGGCGTTTGACGAGCTGGCGACAAACCTTCGGATTAAATCAAATATCTCGAGCAAAGCAGTCTGGGCAACAGGCGAAGTGCCGGCTGTTCCCAGAGGAAAATCCAATCTTGCAATTGAAGAGGAAATGGAAGGGTCGAGACGTCGGGGGAGCTCGAGCCTGAATGGAAAACGAATCGGCCGGAAAAGTTTTAGTCGCGCGCAGATCAGTCCGCCGACGCGAGAAACTTCCCGTTTATTCGGTATAATCCGTTCGAGAGTTCTTTTTTTTCCAGAAGAGACCTTCGGAACGCGAAAAGGAAATGATAAGCGGTTACGCGTGTGTGTCTCACGGGGATGGAATGTTAGATGCGATCAAAACACCGCGACATGGCGTTCAACAATGCGTAAAGTTTCGGGACCAAGATGGAGCTCCAAACTGGCAAGTTGCTTGGATGGCACAGCGCGACCATTATGACGACGGATGGTAAGAAGTTAGGAAAGTTTCGATGGTAAGAGCCAGTGCGCGAGTTTGAAATCTTGTCTAAAGCGGTGTCGAGAGGTGTGAGAGATAAAAGTCGTAAAATTTAATGTGCATCGCATTCAATCAACGTTCGTTTGTGGCTGAGCTGCCAGCCAACTTTCCTAGCTAATGCAGAACGAACTTACACTTTCGACTTATGAAAAATAGCTGGACGATTGCAAGGATGTATCATTATAGACAATTCGAACTGTTACTTTAAAAACAACAGAAAAATTGAACATTTAAATTAAGGAATATTGTTTGGGACATTCTTTCAAAGATTCAGTGTTAGTAACAGTAAATGTTTTTACATTAACCTAAACTTTTGACCAGCAGTGTATAAAGACTGCTGGTCTTTATACGATTGAATATCTACTAGATTTTATGTTGCAGTTAAATGTCAAAGTCTATAGAGAAAACATTAAAAATCTGACACGTTTTGATAACATAAATTGTGTCAGACATTTTGTTTCAAAGTTGGATAAAGTTTGCTGCAACTGTCAAGCAGCCATTTTATACTCGACTCATTCATGAATGACTAACACAGACTTTACACCTCAAATTCATATGGAATATATGTTATTTAACATTTCTTTTTTATAATAACATCAAATGATGGTAGATTTATTAAAACTTCATTGTGTGTCACTGTTTGCTGCATCTGCCAGTCAGCCATTTTGTATTAACAGCATTGCTGAACGCTTTAAAGAGTCCTCCACTTCAAAGTAATATGAAGTATATTGTATTTAAAGTTTCTATTGTATAATTTGATCAAACCATGCCAGATTTTTAATATGACACTGTTGATGAACATTTCTCCCAACGATCCAGCAGCCATCTTGCGTTCAGAACATAAATAAATGGTCTGCAGTGTTCACGTTTGAATTACAGTAAAAGTTATTTAACGATAGTACATGTCATCATGCCAGACCGTTTTTAATACAGAAAATATTAAGCCACAGTTTTGAATACGTTTATTTCTATCCCCGTCTGGCACAATCATCGTTGTTTTCATAAACTCTTTGGCTCGTCGAGGCCCTTTTTTCGCGTGTAATACCACAATTCATGTTGGGCTTAGAGCATGCAGGGGCACCCACGATAATGTGTATACGCGGACACTCGAATCGCCCCCCTCAGACTCTAATTAACTCGGATATTGACCAGAACAGCGTATGGCTGTGTGCGCACGCGATTTTTTTCTCCACACGCATCGGTCGCGGTACACAAACAAGGGGAAAAGGGGAAAAAAGTGGCTCCAATTTATCAGGTCCTGCCTCACGGTTTCCATCGGTGCGCCATTTTTACGAGCCCCTTCATGGCCGAATGTAAACGCTAAAAAGTTCGCGATCGTGTGCATCAGGACGCAACGTCGGCACGATAATGGCTCTCTCCGAATGCGTTATTCGTTCAACAACTAATTGAACTCTTTGTTAATGTTAAGTCGCGATCGTTGGTTTTCGCAATTGTGCCCAGACGCAAATTGGTGGGCGGTTGTTCGATTTCATCGAAAATCGTTAACGAGTTAAAGTGAAACTTGCATTAGAGTCGGACTCGGCTATACACGTCGGGTTTCGTTAACGACAGAACGAAAGTTGCGGGGGGATCGTTTTTTCCCAAAATAGAATGTATTTCTTTTTCCGTAAAAATCGATTCCTCAAAATGTACGAACGGTATTAGTGCGCCCTAACGTTTTATCGCAAAAAGCGAAATCGCGGAGAAATAAATTTTACGACGCCATTCAACTTTTTTTCCGCCCTAAATTCAAGTTATATCCCGACTCGACTGCGTAATGCAACCTGACGGAATTTATGACATTCCAATTTTAATAAATTTTTGAACCTCAGCGCCGAGCAGACTACGGCAGGTCTCCCCGTGATATAAAGGTTAAATTTGATATCCTACTTTCAGGAGATTCTAAGTTTTTTACGGTGTACGAATTCTTCCAGGTAATAAAGAGCCATCACAAAGGCACACTTTCTCCGCGTTTTGGAAACATATCGAACCGGCGGCCGTAGAATGCACGACACGTTCACTTCCGTTCACCCCCGTCGAACGCGTCCCCATTTATTGCAATTTCACTCACCGCTCTTCGGCGTGGGGAAGATGTTGTAGACGGAATCTCGAACCCAAGACGTGACTGCCACGTATTCCTTAACGAACGTCGGTATTTCGCACCTGAGCACACCGGTATTTCCTGGTAGGACGTACGCGTCTCGCACTTGGATCTCGTACTTCTGACGCACCACTGAAAAGAAAGTTACGATTTATCTCGTTGGTGAAAGGAACCGTGAAGGTGTTAACATTCCTCGCGTTTTATCGCGAACGTAATGCGTTTGCTATGAGAAGAATAAAGGAGAAGCTTATGCAACTACAAGACATCAAAGAAATACTTCTGCCTGGATTTCATTTTTCTTATCTTATTGTTCTCTGACATTAAACTCCTTTCACTTTCTGTATCCATTTTTTAGTCTTTTGGCGAATTATTTCGTAAAAGATACCTGTTCAATTTATCCTGATTTTAATCAATATACTGTACAAAAATATTACCTGAACATTTAAAAAAATTAATACTGAAAATTATGATGAGACGAACTAGTCTATGTATCATTGATATGAAGTTGACGTAGAATGGACAAGAAGTAGGTAGATTAATTTTTTGAGGGGAGTTGCAGATAAAATTGGATGAATTTCAAGTATTAAAATTACCTGAACATTTTAAAAAATTAATACTGGAAATTATGATCAAACTAGTCCATCTTCACTGATGTGAAGTTGACACAGAATGGACAAAAAATAGGTAGATTAATTTTTTGAAGAAAGTTGCACTTGAAATTGAATGAAAATTAAATATTAAAATTACCTGAACATTTAAAAAAATTAATACTGGAAATGATGATCAGACGAACTAGTCCATCTTCACTGATGTGAAGTTGACACAGAATGGACAAAAAATAGGTAGATTAATTTTTTGAGGGAAATTGCACTTGAAATTGAATGAAAATTAAATATTAAAATTACCTGACCATTTTAAAAAATGAATACAGAAATTGATGAGACGAACAGAACCAGTTAAGTTTGAACCAGAATGGACAGAAAACAGGTAGATTAATTTTTGAAGGGAGTTGAAATTGGATCGATGTAGGATGCCGGAGTTCATTCGCCTCAACCTTACATATTATTATTTCCGACGATTACTATATTCGCCACGGCGGTAGGTATTCCGCACGAAAATCAATACTCGTAAAGCGGAATCGTAGCCGACAATTTCTGCCGTCAAACAATTCTTGGTCACAAAATCCCGTCGTTAACTTCGATAATAATATACACGCGTATATATAGATATATTACGCATTTTCTATTATGCGCTCGTTATTCTGACGGAGAACAACGGCGCATTTAAAACCGTCTGGCAGCGGTGCTTTCGGTAATTAGAGTGCCTCCCTCGCATTTTCAGTCCTGCCACGATCGAGTTCTCCTGCGTACAATCCTCGGCCCTCCGCTGTTCGTCCGAAACCAAAGAGGAGATTCTTTCTCGTAGCCGGGCCAGAAATTCGCTCGATTCACGAGCTGCTAAATGCGATAAGTGATTCTTGGCAGGATGTCGCGATTGTTCGTACGGCGAGCCGGAAAGAATCTCGCGGGCCCGTTTGTTCTCTCGCGAGGGGGTTGCATTTAGTGCGCTCCTATGTACAGTTTGTTCCACAAGAAACATGCAACCTCCGCTTTGATCCAAACAATACACTTTGGGGTCCTTTTCCTCTTCAAAGCCTCGAACTTTTCGAGTACTTTTGCAAACGGCTTGAAGGGTGGTCCTGACTTAACGAGGAGGGTCTCTTGGACCGATGTTTATAAGGATCGTGCAATTTATCGGAAGTCTACAAATTAATGTTTTACTTGCAAATACGGTGGTTTACTTATGACTGAAATTTACACTCATCAGAGCAGAAAACTGCGTTCGTGCATTTATGCTGTTTCGAGAGTGTAAATAGATGTAATCTGCGAACAGATTAAACGCTTCATATTTACTCGGAAGAGTCTACAAATAAAAGTAAAGTTTTTATGGAGTTGTTTTCAGCGAAGTTTGTGGAACAGACTGTAGGTACGTATTTAAATCGTCCGGTGGAAAACGCGAGCGAGTACTTGGCAGCAAGCTACAGCCTGCGAATCTTGATCTTGGCAGCGAGTGCCGCTTGTTAGCCATAAGCGAGCGCGAGTTTAAGGCAGTATGTCTGCGAGCCCGGTTGAAGGACGAGGGACGAACGAGCCAGGGTGGCGATAAATGTAGTTGGCTCGGTTCTCCCGAGCTACGATCATTCTTCCAACTCCGGCGCAGTCCGTGGTTTAGAACATCATTTCGCGAAATGGCCGATTACATTTACGAGCAGCGAGATACGAGGCCGTCGAAGGCACCGTGTCGCGTCGTTCGATAACACCGGCAAGCCTGGTGACGCGTCTGGGGTTTTTATGTAGCGAGAAAACGGCGGATCTCGCTCGCGAGGGCGCCTAAATATCCTGGCGAGGACGCACGCTAAGTGGCGACGCTAAATTCGCTCTCCGGGAACGCGGTTGCAGCTACATTGTACTCGACAGCGTAATTGCGAGCCACGATACTCCGGAAACGTTCGTCGGCAATTTTTCGTCGGATTACAGTCGCGTTGCGGTCTAGAAACCGAGAGACGCGCTTTGTTCGAACGATTTCCTGCCGCTTCTCTACTGGCTAAGTCTCGCTAGCCACGGAAAATGGAGCCCTCGTTATCGCTAAGCACTTTTGCACGATTTCTGATACATGGACGCTCACAAATTTTTGATACTTGATTTAAAATGGGTCGAAACGGAAGATACATTTTAAAGCTATCGATTTAATTTGACGGTTCAGAGCTGTTTCGGGTGCGATCTTATTTGAAGGGAAACTTGATACTTCGTTGCAATTCGACTCGACGCGATGTAACTCAATAGGTCTCAATTCGACGATAGTCAACTTGATGCGATCGAATTTCATACAATTCAACTTTACACCATATCGTTATTCGACTTAATAGTTTCGTTGAAACTCTACTCGAACTTAGTGCAATTCAACTGGATCCAATTCATTATTCAACTTGATGCAAATGTAACACGATTCGACTCAACACGATATTCAACTTGACAAGATCCGACACCATGCAACCCGGTGATCCAACTCAGCGCAATGTAATTCAACACACTTAAATTCGCCACGATTCAACTCGACACCGTCCAATTCAATACTCTTCGACTTGACATAATCCAATTCGACTTAATTCAACTCGGCGCGGTCCACGATGTAATCTAGTTCGCCGCAGCCCAATTCAATTCGACACGACTTGAGACGATATGATTCAATTTTGCTCGATACGACTCAACGTGATTTAATTCACTGCAACACTGACACTCTATTTAACACATTACTACATTTAGTTTCACACTGTGTACGATCACCATTTCATTCTCTCAACATGTTTTTCGTTAACTTCTCAATCTATGTTGTTTATGAAAGTCTCCTTGTACTCAATATACAGAATGAGACACTTAAAATCGACCAACTGAACTTGGCTGTTATTGGTGATAGGAAAAGATACTTCAGACAAAAATATTTTGTATCGATGGGTTAATAAGATCAGCTGATCAGCCTATTAGATAAAAATTTTTTTGCCTGTTGATAGGTTAGTAACATTGGATAATAAGTTCATCAGACAAAAATATTTTGCATCGATGAATTAATAACATCAGATAATCAATCTGTCAGATAAGAATAGTTTTGGGTGTTGATGGGTTAGTAATATTGGATGATCAGTTCATTAGACAAAAATATTTTATATCGATGGTTTAGTAAGATCAGCTGATCAGCCTATCAGATAAAAATCTTTTTAGGTATTGATGTGTTAGTAACATTGGATGATCAGATCACGAGACAAAAATATTTTGTATCAATGAATTAATAACATCAGATGATCAGTTCATCAGACAAAAATATTTTATATCAATGGTTTAGTAAGATCAGCTGATCAGCCTATCAGATGAAAATCTTTTTAGGTATTGATGTGTTAGTAACATTGGATGATCAGTTCACGAGACAAAAATATTTTGTATGAGTGAATTAATAACATCAGATGATCAGTTCACCAGACAAAAATATTTTGTATCACTGCATCATGATCAGCCTCTCAGCAAATAATTTTGCCTGAAGCACTTTGTCCTATCACCAACAGCAGCCAGACTCAGATAGATTTTAAGTGTCTCCGTATTAATTTTCAAAAGTCACAATAAGATAAGAGGTTGAGTTGAATAAACCTTGAAGTCTCCCTTTTATTTTTAAACGTAGAAATCATGAGGGGTTTGACAGAATAGATGGAACAGAAAAAAGGTGTAGTTGCCAGACGAGAGCGGAAGGCAATCGGGTGGAAGAACAGAAATAAAGGTACTCACCGGCCTTTACCGTGATTTCACGGCCCAACACCCTGCCGACGCTGTTCGAGGCTTGACATCTATAGACGGCCGAGTGGACATCGTGTCGGTAGGTCTCAGCCCCGAACGGCAAGAAGTACATCGAACCGTTCATCAGCATCTCACGGATGTGAGGTATAGGAAGGACAGGTGACCCGTCTCCCATAAGCCAATCAATCCTGGGCAAGGGACTGCCCTGGGCCGAACAATGGATCATTGCTCCGGTCTCGTTCGAGAATTCGACCGACGAGCGTGGCTCCGAGATCAACATCGGACCCTGACTATCCAGCACCACTCCTCGTCCTGTAACATAAATTAAAACCACTTAGGTTACTGAAAATTAGGTTACTGAAAATATTGAGCTTCGGAAGAGGTTTTGTTGACTTTTAAATTAAGATTGTAGCATCGGAAAGAGAATACTGATGTAGCCTTTGATGAATTTTTCAGATTTGAAGCTACGTAAGCACTTCCTAATGACGAAGAATATCTGAAGTTCTGCAGTAATTGAAGCATGCGAAGTTTGCGAAGTTCTGAAGATAAGACATCAAATTCCCGTTTAAAATTTGCATTTACCACAAATAGTTCAGACGTTCCTTGCAGAGTGTCGGTATAAATGTAGAGATATTTAATAATTCGTGAATAAATCATAAACATATAGAGAATGTTGCGGTCGAGTGATCCTTTATAAAATTTTCCGTGAAATTGAAACGGACTGCCTGGAAGATAGCGAAGCAAACGAATGATGATCAATCGTACGCTCGGGGCTGTTCTAACAGACGATGCATCTAAATGAAAATTCGATAAAATATCCCGAATAGAAGGCGGCTCTCTAACCGAATAATTCATGCGAGGGTGAATCGAATCAATAAGGATATTCGTTCAAAGAGAGAAACAATCGGTTTCTCGATATTCCGGGAACCAAGGTTTGCCGCTTTACTTCGCAACTTTCTCGATATTCTTCGCGAGCAGTTTACGCGGCAAAATATACGACGTTATGTATATACCCGGGGCAAACACGTCGGGCTTTTATTTCGTCGGGTAACGTCGGCCAAAACAGCGGCTACGTTTTGACGACGCGGCAATAACACGGATATCGATCATATTCGATCTTCGTCTTGTCACTTATTACGAACCACACGAAATCATTTGCATTTTCCAGCGAGACGCGTTCATCGCTCACGCGCCGACACGTTATCGCGCGAAAAACGCTCTCCGCTCGTCCGAAAAAGATTTACGAGCCTGTAAATTCGAACGCGTTTCGATTTTTCCGAACATGCGGCTGATCACACTTTTCCGCGGTATTGGATTCTGCAACTGTGATCCATTAAACTGTAATTTGATAGCAGCTATTCGTTCTCGTTCATATAGATAACGTTAGTTTAATATTATAACTCGAAACTGGCTTTAATTTAATCACGTGTCACTCTGAATTTGTTGGATAAAATGTTTTTCCTTCACAATATATATTTTTAACCATCAGTCTTCCTCTTAAGGCGCAAAAAGAGGGTGCAACTTACAGATGATATTGATGAAACTTTCCAAAAGTGTAGACGTCTTGCCTTCGTAAATCACTTTTCGTGGGGAGGTACATGTGTGGAAGCTTTTAAATTATTTTTTAGGGAGTTTTCTTTTATACATTAAATACAGTCAACTTCAACTATGTAAAAGCAGTAAATGTAGTGTCAAAGTAACTACTTTGATGTATGTCATAATAACTCAAGTTAATCCAAGATTCAAATCCTCAATTCACTTTTCATAGTTTGTTTAAAATATTTTTAATTCAAGTTCAATTATCAAGTTCATCGTTCAAATTTATTTTGAAGCAACATAAGTTAAAATCTCTGTCTTTGACTCTTAAACCTCGTTCAAATATTAAAATTGTACTTCCACTTCAACATCAATTTGAAATAATATAAGAACATATAAAAATCCTCATAAATCCAAAGGTTTTCTTATAAAACAAAATCATTTATCTTTCCATAAAGAAATTACACCACCGATTGAAGCAAATAATAGAAGTATCGAAGAAAATAAAACTCGTATCAAGGTCCGTTGAATGGCGCGCGAATCGTCGCCTTTTTCCTCGCGATTGCAACGTTTACCATTCTCTCGACTCGTATCATTTCCTTCGCCGCGTTTCCGCTTCCTCCTTTACAACCCTTGTCTCTCCATCAACCGTTACCATGCTCCATGCAACCGCCTTCGAACGAGAAAATCTGATAGAGCATCTCCACCGCAGCTGATGCCAGAACAGGCTTTGTCCCAGAATTCTGGCAGCTTGTTTTTCGGTGATCCTGGCCCAGCCGAGCGGATAGACGATGCGCATGGGAAATGAAGCGAGCACAAGGGATGGCGAGTGCATTATGTATGAACGGCGATTTGATAAGCAGAATACCGATACGCAAAATCCGCAGGAACCGGTAAGAGCGAACAGTGGCGTACCACCCTTTAAATGTGGGGCATTGATGTACAATTTGGGATGTTAGGGAGATCTTGATGGATATTTTGATATCAAGGTTATACACTTTTTTAGATTATGTAAGTGTTAAGTTTGCAGGATGTCTGATTTTCAATAGTATACATTATCATCAAATACTATTTCAATACTACATGTACTCATTATCATCAAATACTTTTTCAATACTACATGTACTCGTTATCATCAAATTCCTATATTCCCATATTCTTATGTCCTCAAATCCCTAAATTCCCAAATACCTAAATTACGAAATACCTAAATTACAAATTCCTACATCTTCAAATTTCATTATCCCCAAATTCCTATATCTCCATACCTCTATATCCCCAAACCCCTATACCTCCACATCTCTATATTTCCAAATCCTTATATCTCCACATATCTACATCCCCACATCTCTAAGTCCCCAAATCCTCAAACTCCTAAATCCCCAAATCCTTAAACTCCTTAACTTCAAATCCCCGAATTCCCCAAAATTCCTTTAAATCCACAAATCTTCAAAATTTCAACTTTCTACATCGCCAAATTCCCAAATCCCTAAAATCCCAAATCTCTCAGTTTCAAACTCCCAAACCCTAAATTTCCAGAATCCTCAAAATCCCAAATTCTCTAAATCCCCAAAATCTCCAAAATCTCCAAAATCCCACAAAACCCCCAAAATCCCTAAAATTCCCAAAATCCCTAAAATCCCCAAAATCCCTAAATTTCTCAAAATCCCTGAAATCCCTAAAATACCCTAAATCCTCAAAATCTCCAAAATCCCTAAAATCCCCAAAATCCCCAAAATCCCCCAAACCCCCAAAATCCCTAAACTTCTCAAAATCCCAAAAATTCCTAAAATACCCAAAATCCGCAAAATCCCCAAAATTATCAAAATGTCCAAAATCACCAAAATCCCCAAAATTCCCAAAATCACAAGCTCCCAAACCCCAAATTTCCAACATCTTCATCAACACTACATCACCCAAGGATTGCCAAGACAAAAGTCCTAGTTACGCCACTGAGTAAATCGTACGTGAAGTCAGCTACGTATACGCGTGCACCGGAAAGACATTTATATCCGATGCTTCCTGTGCTCTACGAGGTTCGTGCACCTGCGCCCCCGGTTTACAGCTATGCACCGTCGCCATCTACGCTGCATTCACACGCACGTTCAACCCTGCAACCCCGTGGTTGCCTACGCTCATCGTCGATGCATGTGTGTGTATGCGCGTATGGGTTGCATTGATGCATCTGTTACTCCCGCGGGCGTTCTTCTCGTCCCATGTTCGTCGAACAACGAGCACGAGCATGAAAAATATAGCCGAATTAGTTACGCGTATAACGTGATTTTGCTCGGACGGCTCGATGTAAAACGTTTATTAAATCGCTGGTGTTAAGGGGAATTTTGAACGCTGTTGCTTTTTTACGACCAATTTTATGGAGTTGCTTGTTTTAGGCGAGGGTTTATTATTGCTATTTACTAAGTGGAGCAATGTTACGATGTGTAAGTGTATGTAAGGTATGCGAAGATGAGAATAAGGTTATGAGGGAAATTATAATTTTTTTACTCCTTACGGAAAGAAATCTTGTAGACGAATAATCGCACCTCTCGGAAGACTGTAGAAACAGAGCTATAGCTTATAGAACTAGAAACAGAGGTAAGCTATAGCTTACAGAACTAGAAACAGCTTTAGAAACAGAGGTATACGGTAATAATCTGATTAGTGCAGATACTAGTGTGTGGGAATTTAGCGCGCATGGATCTAGTGCGTGGGAATTTAACGCGAGTCAAGTGGTATAAACCCATGAAACGTAGAAACTTAACGCGATTTAAGTGGTGTAAATAAAGCCACGAAACAAAAACCCTATTTATTTGAACATATATCTGCATAAATCCGAAGCGGAAGAAGCGAAACTCGCATCCTCGAGTTAACAGCTGATTCCAGCACTTGGAGCCAAAGTACCGTGTCCGTAGCTTTCATGACACGGTCACAGTGGTTCACCCATATTTTATCTCCGTCACTTGAAATTCCCCCGTGCATGTTTCAGTGGGAACGCGTTCAATCGCGTCACGAGCGATGTACTGCGGAGCACGCGCGTACACGGGTCACACGTGGTTGCGCGCGACCGCAGAAAAACGGGGCTCCAAATTCGAGTAAGTCCCGCATTAAAGGGGACGAATATCGAGCCGGCGATATAATTGCGGGGGTAAAACAGGGAGGAGTGTAACAAATCAAACGCGCAGGATTCCACGTCGTCGCTTTTATCCTTTCGTATAAACGCGCATGACGACCGTATTTCCGCTCTTATAAACGCCATACGTTTTTCTCGTTTTCATTTTTCACGCGGGTATATTTGCGCTGTACGTCGCACGGTGACGCGCAATGAGGAAGAATACACTGTTCACTCGATTGCAACGAATATCGAGTGTGTTCATGCTCGTGTGTGTACGGATGCACGTGTGCGGAGGGATCTATCGGTGAAATGGAGACTGTTGAATGAGACACGTGAAAAATATATTCTTCGCGATTTCTTTCTAGCGCAATGTCGGAGAAGGAATTCACTCTCAGACGCGTTACTGAGTCGTGAAATCGTTTTGTCCGAGTGGGTACGTTTTACGAATGAATTTTAAAATCTGTTGATACTTTCGATGACGCTTTCGACCTCCTTTTATGTAGCTTCAGGATGTAGGAGTGTTTGGTCAAGGTACACTTGCGATGTCTCATTTTGTAGGAACGTTTGTATTAAAAATATTTATGAAATTATGTGGGAGTCTTCCTTAAATCTTAAACCACAAATTGATGTACGACAATGAAATTAATGACTGTTCCCAACTTTTTCA